GCTTGGTTCTCCCACGAGACACGTCTGGTGTTGTTGATCATCTTCCTAGTTCTGTTGCTCCTGTCACTTGCATTGGCGGTTCCGTTTATGCTGTCCTCTCGGCACAGACATTGTCCGCGTGCAGGTAGCACGGCAACTGCACTCCGACGCGAACAGCGACTACGTCAATCCGGTCGTAGTGATCAGTCCTACAGTGACGAAAAAGGAGGCGGGGGTGACGAGGATGATGATCTGGACGAGGAGGACGGAGTGCATGTCTCACTTCGATCCCGTGTGGACCACGAAAGGAATGTCCCGACTGAGAATGGGGTCGTCATCAGTTCAAACCCAGTCCGTGCAACCGAGTTTCGTGAATCGTCTGATACGATTGTGCCACTTCATTCCTCGAATGGCGATATCGGAAACGGAATAGGCTTCACTAATACAAATCACGTCGGTGTGGTACGCACTTTCAGTCCATTCGAATTGACTAATCGACGAACAGCGCCGGCCACCGATCCCTACCAACGTGTCCGATATAGTCAGCTCCGATCAACTCTTCATGAGGATGTGGATGATGAGGAAGATGAAGAAGAAACTCCGAAAGACGAAGGTGTATATGAAAGAGATCAGGAGGAAGATTACACAATTCAAGATCACGAGTACATGCCAGCTTGCACAATTCATGCGACTCGGGATGGAGAATACTGTACCCGTGAGCCTGTACCACCCCGCCCGTTCCATCGCACGAATCGACGTCTGCCTGCATCCAGTCCGGGTTTGATCAACCGTCGATCCTAGCACGTCTCCCATCCACCTACTTCCCTGATCCACTTATTTTGTTCGCCGTCCCCTCTATTGGCTATGACTTTATGGAACTGCCTTTTTCCAGTTCAGCGCGCATCCACATTCAAAAATCGATAGGCAGGCGCCCAACCGTCCAAATCTCCTGTCACACGCTTCGGACTTCTTTCTTATCCACGAAAATCGTTTGTTTCGCTGACTCCCACAAACAGTGTTGCCAGCAGCTTTGAGTTTTATAATTTCACAACCAATTAATGCCTGAAAATCCGTTTTTACATGTTTCTTTCTTATAAACTAGAATCTTTTTTTCTAACTGGGTATGAGGTGGTGACTGCTAAAAGATGCCGGAGATTTCCTTGTTCTGTTTTCCCACCACTGGCGCAATGTGTT